TCTCTTCAACAGACTCTCCCGCTTTCAGAAAGATATCTTTCATTGACACTCTTATAAAGCTGAATCCTTCATCTGACCCCGTAGGATCTCCCTCACCATGAAGTTTAAGCATTGCTTTTCCCTAGTAATTTTAATAAAATAATATTTAAAATGATGGCAATCTTTTAAAAAAGCAATGTCAACGTCGATGTCAAGTTCTTGGTATATATTTAAACTCACCTGAGTAGCATTAATGAAGTTTCGTGTTGTAATCCAAGGAGCCAACTGTTCCTCGATAGATAACTTAGATTCATCATTGCCTTCTTCTTCGCCTGTGGCTGTTTTTACATACCCAGAATCAAGTAAATGTCGCTGGCCAACCAACATGCTCTCATACAAACATATCTTTCAAATAGAAAACAATCAGTATGATAAACAATGCGAATGAACGCCATCGTTGTATTTATACAAACCATCTCTGGTGATAACATTTTGCGTAACTCTTCCTCCGTAGGAAGGCGAAGACTACGCTTTAGTCGCCAGACACCTCCATTATCGTCTCTACGTTCGAGTTCGGCGAATTCCTTAGTATGTCATAGGAATTAGCAGCGTCTTAATAATACGAAAATGACATAAAATACATAAGCTACGTTTACCTTTACACGCTGGCGTATCTGAATTTCGGTGTATTCTGGAAATAGTTTAGAAAGTTGTCGTAACTTAAAAGTCTGGTCAATGCTGCTCTTTATGAGTCTAAATGCGGACACTTGTAGTCGATTCTTAACGGTGTTTGTTATTTTTCTGGAATGTGGTCCAGGTACTTCTTGCATAGGATATGTCTGGCCGACGACAAATAAATTCTTTATTTCGCGAACGTAGTATTTAGATTTTCCCTTGTATGTATTCCTAGTATAAATTGTCTCGGTCAATTTTTTCCGATTAAAGTCACTTCTCTTTTTACAATTTTCACAAACCTTATGACGAGAAAGTCCGTGTCTTTTTGATTGTGCTTGAACACTGGTGCTCTTACAAGATTGTTGTATAAAGCGGTAATTATTTGACCTGGTTCAACATCCCCGAAATTCATAAATGGGGATGCATCAGATACATCGAGAACAACGGCATCGCCAATGTCGAGCTAAGGAAATGGTCAGGAAAAATTTGCTAAGAGCATAAACTAGCATTTCAGTACAATAAGACTTACTTTCGGCACAGTAGAATCATTTTCATCAATTTTCCTATAGTAGTTGAGTAGGAGACTGCCCATTCCCACATTAGAAATAATTGGTGGATATTCCTCCTGCAATAACAGACGGTTTTGAGGAATAAATAAAATTACATCAAATATGGTATTGATTATGTGAAACAGTTTTCGTTCTTTTCCTTACAGAATATTCAAGCAATACGAAGGTACCAGTGTCTCTTAGTGTCAAATCACGTGAACTACGGATATCTATTGTGCTCTTTTCTTTTTGTTTCTTTGATTTGGGCTTGGTCCGAGCAAACGTAATTAATCTATCGACTTGGAATTGTATCGCCGGACGATGAAACGCGCGAAGTTCCGATTTTGACAGCTTTGTCTTGAACTGGTAGTCAAATTTTTGTGAACAAATGACTTGTAAAAAATAACCAAGCAAACCAAACCACGAACACCATTTTACATACAAAAGGAGATTTTAATTTCAAAGCCGGTAACGAGTGCTGAACTACTAGTTGCCCAATAGTTTGCCTGACTCTTTGTTGTCTCATCTCTGTGCTCGTATCATACAGTTGATCGTTTGAAATATTGAAAGGGTCCGATTCTTCATCTCGTGTTAGTATTTCAATATCACTAGCAAGCGATGGGTGCTGTTTAAATTCATTAAATTAAAATAATCAGTAAAAATACTATGGAAAAATAACACAAACTTCATATCTGATACAAATAGGGTCTGATTATAGACTTGCCTTTGTTATAAGTCTTGTCTGTCTCCGTCCTCGCTTTTTTACTGAAGAAAAACATTTGTGAGTAAGATCATCATTATGGCCTTCGCAGCTTCAATCAATGTCGCTTACCCATTTGGTCTGAAATTGAAGGTTTGGGTAAATCTTCACCTGCTGAAACCTCAAACAACATATTCGGGTCATTCAAGTCATAAATAAGCTTTGTGAATGGACACTCTATTTTTGGTTCATCACATAATACAGAGTCTAACCAGTCGTCCTCTTCTAATTGGCGATAGGTTAAGTCAGAGGCTGACAGAGATTTCTAAAGTGAGGCACGCGGTACGACCAGTCACAGAAAATATGAGTTTACTCTAAATATAGAGTTTCAGTTGTTTGCTCTTATTCGCCAAATACCTGAACAAGAGAACTATTGGGCCAGCTTGAGGCAAATTCCAATAAAACAACAGATCAGCGCGTTATTACTTATTACTTATACAATTCCCATTAACAATCACGTTGGAAATACCTCTGTGATGGTTTATGTTCCCAAATAATGTAATCTTCCCATGAAACTGTCATTACCGGCAGATAAGTTTTAGACTTCTCGGGTATTTTCCAAATTATTTCCTTTTCCGGCTTTCTATTTTCGTCCTAGTCGTTCCAATAACAAATTCATGTCAGCAATCTAATAAGATTCATATGTTACCTTAACGTGAAGACCAAAGCAAACCTTTGAGGGTAGCGGATTCACTTTATTTGAAATATCATATGTTGGTGGAACAATGGTATTGTCTGTTGTATTGGATATTTCAGTAAGGGCAGAAACTTCCTTTTGTATTCGAGGCACGCCATTCTGAAACATTACGCGATCATCAGTGTCGAGTATAGGCTGTGTTACCATTATATTAAGAGCTATAAACAAAGTCAAAAGATGAGGCAAAGGAAGAGGAGATAGACAGATCAACGAAATATACCCAACACTTGCCATTTTTATTTTTCTGTTGCAATTTCTTTCTAGTAATCTTTGTCGCAAATAATTCGGTAAAATTCAGCACTTCGTCGCTACGAAATGCTGGAAATAATGTATCGAAATCTGAATAGTCTATGGCATCTTCGGCTGGTTTTACAATTGATTCAACTGGCGTTCTTGGTGTTTCAACTCTCTCAGACTCTTCCTCGTCTTTCTCGACTAAACCCAGTGATTCGGCTAAAAATATCCTACTGAACAACTTTGTCTCTGCTTCTTCAGCCACTTTCTGCAAGGATTCTCGCAGTTCCTAGTATAAAGGGAGAGGTTAACTGGTCTGATCTGTTTGATCTGCAAGAGATAGATCGTGAAGCCCAATACCTCATCCAATCCAACGTTATCGAGATGGCCTTCTTCGTCAACGTTGCCAAAGAGGTAGTTTGCAAGATTAGCCATTATAATGTCGTTTCTGTCGTAGTTTACTGTTCGGGAGTTAACATACCAGTCGCACAATTTGTCCCAAACTCATTATGCATGTTACACAAAACGACGTCGCGTGTATTATATTAATTCGTGCAGCACAGTTATAAAACAAGACGATATAAAAATGTGCTGCTATTTTTTCGACGAAAAAATGGCGGTTGAAAATTATAATCAAAAAACCATAAACCGTGTTTGTTTACACGATATACTTGTTCGTTTAAACATATAAACCATTGTGTTTTTCTGCTTCGTGTTTAGAACCTTGCAAAAAATGGTTAGCGCAAGACTTGAAGCTCAACGTCAACTATTTCACTTTTGTGGCAAAAGGGCGCCGTTCAGCAAAGAAGGAAAAACTCGCTTCGGATTGTTGAGCAAAATATCCGAGAAACAGGTGTTGTCGAACGTAAGCGTGGTAGCGGCAGGCCATCGAAGATTACACAAAACTTTTCTTGGGCCAACATTTTCTACGAAAAAAGGGATACAATAGCTCTGCCTCCAATGCGGATGCGACGAATGGTCCATATTTTGCAGGGTAACTTCTTTCCTTTGGAAAAAATGTACGAATTCAACCAACCATTATATGGAAGCACGAAAATCGTGAGAAATAGCTCGCTTTAAACAATAATTGGAACCCAAAAAGCCGAACGCAAAAACGGCGAGCTCAAAATGTTTACAAATGAGACAGCCAGCGATTTTTAGTATTAGGAATAAAGCATAAAAATAACAATAGCCCACGTCTACCAAAGACACCAGAAGAGAGTTGTATGGAAATCGCTGGGAGCTACAACAGGATAATGATCCTAAGCACACTTCACGTGTTACAAGGGAATTTTACAACGAAAATAAAATTAGAGGCCGTCCAACATTCCGGACTTAAATCCCGTTATACAGTATATTGATTGTTAGTCGAGAAATTAAGTTGACAAAATTAAACTGTTGGTTTATCATAATGCAGTAATTGGTACACACACAAGATTCCTGCTAACTCACGAATGCGCTTTGAGCATTATGTTAGTAATAGTAACGTAATTTACAAGAAAAAGTGTAATCATTATCATGTGACCATTGTTAATGTCACACACAAATGTCTCCAAACTATCCGTTATCGCTGACATGTCATGAGTTCACGGTATGATAAGGAAATAGTCGTATAATAATAAGTATCGCGTGGATCGTAATTTACCCAAATGAAAAATGAATTACATAAACAGAAAATTACACACGTGTCATGTAAACTGTTTGGCGACCGTGAGAGGCGTATTTTATCTCAGCGTTGAGAGTAGAAATTCGATGCTGCATTGGCACTTGTTGGTTTGCTGGCTAACTCGCTTCCTTTGCCACATGCGTTTGGGGTTGGAATGCCCCGCCCATACGCGTGAGTCGTGAGTGGCGGCGTTATTCGGTCGTTTTTGCGTGCGTTTTTTTACGCCTAGTATATAGAACGCATATGTAAATGACAACGCTGAAATTAATTAGATCCTGATATAACGCATGTTTCGGTACACAA